TTTGATGAGAATTCTCACAATACCATAGAGTTGGAGAATGAGATCCTTATGTGAATAACATCTCTAAAATTGTTTAACATGAAAAAAGAGCCTTGTTTTTAAAACTTTTTTTCTAAAACATTATTCATTCTTTTCCTCATACAGTTATAAGTAATCAGTCCAATATTTTGTTTCTTAGATCCTGTATCATCTTGTCAGATCCAACTTTTTACCTTGAATAGTTCTTCCCCTGAAAAATACTTAGAAATGTAATCTACCGAATAGGGACAACAAGCAAATATGAACAAGGATTTTCTGTTGTACATTTCAGAAATGAAATATAAATTAATAACAATCCTTGGATAAAGGTGAATTGGACATTTCAAAATGAAGTTACTTAACCTATTTGCAATGTTTGAGATACATATGAATTAATAGAGATAAGGAAATAATGGCATACAATTCATTCTTAGCTTCAGCAGTTGCTTAGAATAATGCTAAAATATTGAACTGCATGTTTGTAATACTAAAGTTGTTATAATAATAATGAGTTAGAATGTTATGATCATAATTTTGAGCTTAGCACAACAGGAATTGAAGATATACTGTAATCATATTACTATAAAAAAATCACTTGCTTAACTGTTGTTACCTTGGGAACACACTAATATTTGCTTTTCTATTCATGTAAAATACATGATAAAGTGAGTCTAAATATGTTATTGAAAAGGGTAAGAATGATGATTTTTGTGTGTGATGATGGTTTCCTGGATACACACACACAGACTGTTAATTTATCAAATTATGTAATTTTAACACTGTGGTTTACTATATGATTATTATGTTTCAACAGAATCTTTCAAATGTTTTGAAAGGATTCATAAAGGGATCAGAACAGGAGATCCTGGATAGAGTGGGAGAAAAATGTGGAACAAAACTACTCATAATAATGTCTTACTGGTCTGATAGAGATTAGTGAAACCCAAGAGACTATGGCCCTTAGTCACCCTCCAGGCCTACTATTTAACTTACTCCCTTGGCTTCCAGCCAAACTATAGACAGGCCTACAAAATGAACAATTACATCAGGTAGGTATCTCCTTAGAACAATCAACCATGAGATATCAGAAGGGAGATAGCTCAGAGGGCAGAAATGCAAAGGAAAGAAGGACACAGGGAAAAGGTAACAGCAGGGAGGAAGT